ACCCCGCTCGCTCACCTCATCCTCATCCAGCATGAGCAGCTGGTTCCCCGAGATGATGCAGAACCGAGGGTTCCAACCAGGACGATCATACGGGGAATGAACGTATTGGGTTCGGTGCATAGGGGGTCCCCGTACATCTGGGGGACAGAGACACACAAACAGTAAGGGAGGGTCAAGACTTTGGGTGTCGAAACCTAAAACGGAAAGAAGAGCTTGCAGATGGGAGGAGTTGCCGCCTGTCTGGAGAGATCTGTTGGGCACAGGATGAGACTTTACACTGAGGAGTTGATCACAGGTGGCCCTGGGAAGGGGTTGAGGGTGGCTTCAGGGACAAGAATTAGTGTCATGACATAGAGGGGCTTTACCGGGGGCAGGAGAAGGTGGAAACTCTGCCCATTCACTTGTGGGGGAGTAAAGACTTATTGAAACTGGCAAAAGATACAGAGAGGTCAGAGGGAGGGTGTTAATAATCCACATACAAAGGATGTGGCCCAGTCATTCAGGAAAATGAGAGGTACCTAGCTTGTGGGAAAGAAAATGGGTGTTTAAGAACATTTGGGTCACGAGAATCTGAGGGCTAAGCATCTGGAAGGCAGGAAGGCAGGCTTCTATGTTCAAAGTATGGCGGCCTCCCTCCCTTCTCTCTCCTTTCCTCCCTGGTCCTACCCTGTTCCTCCTCTGGGGGAAGTTTCCAGGGAGAAGATGCTGAGAAGGATCAGGGAGGGATGGTGGGAAATGTAGTGCTGGGATAAGCAGAGACCAGTCAGGCCTCTGTCCATAACATGCCCAGCAGTCAGGGGTCAGGCCTGCTCCACAGGCTAAGACATCACCTGAGCACAGGGAGAGACTTAAGAAAGGGTGAAGGAAAGACTGGAACAACCAAGCCTGATGACAGAGGACGACCCCAGGATGACATATGAAGAAGAACAAATTTCCAGACAAGAAGGGACCAACAGCTGTGCATCCTTCAAGGCCTGAGGGTTTTCCTGCCGCATCTTTGCTGCCTTGCCAGCACCATTGCCATATACCATTCATGGAGATACGATGAAGGGCCTTAAGGGGGCCAGGAAAGTTAGACTGCTGATAAAACTAGGCTTAAGACATTAGTTAGAGAATTTCACAGGAAGAAACACCATGCTGTCGCCTCCATGGGATCATTAATTTGACACATTTCTGGAGAAATGGCCTTTGGGCTTTCTTCTGGTGCCTTGAGTGAGCTCTGAAAAACTCCATCCTCTTACTGATTATGGTGATTCCTCAGATTTACCCAACCTGCAGGTCAGAGAGAAAGATGAGCCCCTGGGATGGAAGTGTCTAGAAGTCACGATGCTTTCAAATTTTCACTGTAAGTGCTTTCTTGAAGACCCTGCCAATATCCTCCAGACAGGGCCGGGGAGAATAGCTCAGTGGCAGATAACCACTGGAGTTCAAAGCCCCAGCACTACAACAACGACACCATCACCCATAGCTTAGACCACAGACGCCCAAGGCAACAAGCCTACTGCATCTCAACACTTGGTGAACCTGAGGAAAAGCTGTTGATACATATAACCATAACAAAACAGAGGAGCTGTCCAGGCTGCAGCTGGGGCAAGCAGGTTAGACCACAGGGAACAGGAAAGGGACACAGGGAACCTTAACTTAGGGACTAATACTACTACTACTACACACACACACACACACACACACACACAGTCTCGACTTAAGAAAGATGATGATCCTGGAACATAGCAGAGAAAGAGGAAATGGGAAATGTTTACTGCAATGACACCTTCCACAAGAGTTCAAGGCAGAGATTCTTTAGAGCCCCTGTTCCAACCATCACAACCTGTGTTTTGGCACCCCCAAGTCCCCAGGAAGCAGAGGGGACCAAAGAGGAATACAGATGAAGGCAGGGTATACAAGGAAAATAAACAGGCACAGACCCTGGCGATGAGGTGGAAAGGGGTAGGAAACAGAAGATGGATGGGTTCAGGGACATATAACAGAGTAGATCTAAAAGAAAAGGGAGCAAAGATGAGGGGAGATGCCTAGGAACAAGGAAACAGATCAAATGGTTTCAACCAACATGGGGCAGAGGGAATGAGGAAGACCTAACAGGGGCAGAAACATGGGTGTCCAGGAGCAGTGATAGTGTAATAAGGAGTTATTAGAAGAGAGGGAGAGGGAATATATATGAGATAGGGGATTAATACAGGGGAAGGACAGAAGGGGGACTCATATAACAAACGGACACCATATGGGGGGAAAGATATAAGTGATGGACAGCAGAGGAAGGGAGGGGGAATGGAAATAAGTGGTGGGGGAAGGGGTCAAAGTGCTGAAGTGAAGCAAGCTGAGGAGGCCCCAGGGGTTGCATTTCCCGATCAAGAGTCCTGATGAGGGTCAATCACCAGCAGAATAGAACCTGGCCCTTGCTCCCATGACTCAATCTTACATCTCCCCTGACCCAACCAAAAAAAAAAAAAAAAAAACCCACTTGGTCCTCCTTCTCTGGCATCCCCTCCCCCAATCCTTTCTCTCCCTCCTCTCTTCCCTCCATCTGGACCCCCACCCCCCCACTGCCACCCTCTTTCTCCATCTGGCCCCATCCCTCCCTCCATCCTCCTCTTTTCCTACCCCTACCATTCTGAGCCCCTCACCAAATTCCCTCCCCATCTTCTCGGTCTCTCGTCCCACCTCTATGTTTTCATTTCCCCCTTCTCCCCCTCTCCTAAGATCGTGCCTCTATTTCCTTGATATTTTCCTCCTCACACAGCTCCCAAACCCAAATAATTTCTGCAGCGTTCCCCCAAACTCAATCCTCCCTTCTCACGCCGTTCTGACGCTCCTTCCCCTCCATCATCTTCCCCTCAGCCCCCTTCAAGGCCTGTGTCCCAGCCCCTCCATCCCTTACATACCCTATGCCTCTAACCTCCAATCCCTCCTTTCCCACTGTTCCCACCTCTGCCTTCTCAGCCCTCCCCTCTCCCTCCATTTCAGCCGCTCCCTCCCCTCGGTGGCCCCGGCTCTCCCCCGCCCCCTGCCCCTCCCCCTCTTGCCCCCCCCATCTGGCCCTCCCCCTACCCCTACCACCACCGTACCTCTGAAGGGGGCATAGGACATCGCGGGGATGCTCCCCCGATGGATGGAGGCTCGAGACCTGCTCATCAGGCCTGAGGGGGAGGGGGCGGGGGGACGGGGGAGAAAAAGAAGAGAGAAAGAGGGGGAGAGAGAGGGGGAGAAGGAGGAGGTGGAGGAGGAGGAGAGAGGAGGAGAGAGGAGCAGAGAGGAGCAGAGAGGAGGAGAGAGGAGGAGGAGGAGGAGAATAAGAGCCAACGGCAGCAGCGGCAGCACGGAGAGAGAAGGGGGGGCGGGGGAAGCGAGCTAGTGAGGAGAGAGCAGGAGGAGGAGGGAGAGACTCTGCAGCCCCCACCCCTCCTCAGGGAGACCCGGAAAAAGAGAGAGCCAGAGACCCCTGACTCATACACGCCGGAGGCAGCAGTCCTGAAGAAGCTGACCCCAGACCCTGAGACAGACCCCAGACCCAGAGAAAGATACCTCATCCCTCACTCCACACTCAAATTAATCTCACAGACCCAAATCTAGGAGGAAAGAGACCCCTGATCTCAGAGAAAAAGCCACCCCCCCACCCCGCAGAAAGGAACCCTAGATCAGAATCTGATCCTCAGACCCACGTTAGTCTTAGACTTGGGACCCTAAAGTGTTAGTTTTGAGGACCCAAAACAGAGACCCAGACTCAAAGAAAAAGATGAAATCACTATTAATAAGAGCCCCAGGCCAGAATTAGATCTTAGGACCTAGCTGGAGACGAGAAACCCCGGATTCATATCCCAGAGAAAAAATACTGCAGACTTGGGGGTGAGAGAAGAGACATTCAGCTGACCCAAAGATGGAGAAAGAGGACCACAAAAGATCCGAAACTCATTAAATCTGAGAGATCTTAGTCAGTGATCATGGACTCAATTCCCACAAACGACTCGAAAAGTAATTCAGACTCTATAAAGATCCCAAATATTGGACACCCCCCCCACACACACACACAAGGATCTCTGAGGCAGAGGGATAGCCCCCAACTCAAGAGGGAAATGAAAGAGCCTGAACTTCGGCCTGCGGGAATTCCAGCACCCGTGCCAGGGACCCCAGACCTGGGAGGAAGGGGTTATTTTGGGTGGCAGAGCCTTTCCCCCGCTGCTTCCTCCCTCTTCTCTGACCTCTCACTGGCCCCCTCTCCATTTTTGGGTCACTGGATGTGTTTGGGCCCCAGGGAGGTTATGTAGGGCAGGTTCTGGCTCCTTAGGGGAATTGGATGAAGGTGAGGAGACCCAAGACGGAGAGAAGGGTGGGCCGATCCAGGGGACAAGGATCAGCATGGGAGAAGGAACAGGGCCATCACTCCGAACCCTAACTGCCACTCATTTCTCCTCGCCACTCATTTGCGGGTTTTCGGCGCCTCCCATCACCGAGCCCATATACAGGTGTCACCCCGTCTTTTGATCACGGCCGTGTTGGCCATGGCTGAGCCTGCCTGCCCGCTGCCCCCTACCCGGGGACAGCTGGCTTCTCAGCTCGGGGCTAACGCGCGGGCGGGCGGGCTGGCGCGGGGCGCTGTCCCCACCCAGCACCGCCTGCTCAGACCCTCGCCGCCGCCGGCCTCGGGGTAGGGAGGAGGAGGGGACTGTTACTAGGCACATTCCGGGGCTCAGGACGACTCCCCGGCCCCAGCCTGACGCAGCGCGGGCGCCGCTCGCCAGCTCCTGCGTCACGTGGCCCGGAGGCCGTCCGGCCATTGGCCGCCTCCAGCAACTACTGAGGCGGCGCCGCCTGAGAGGGCGAGAGCCGTCACGTGACGGCGGCCGCCGCAGCGGCGTCCCCCAGCCAGCGGCCGGCTGGGGCTTCACTGAAATGGGCGGGCCCTGTCGGCACACGGCCTCCTTTCTAGCTGCCGATTGGCCAGAGGGGCCTCAGCCCCGCCCCATCAGGAGGCGGGGCAATCGGGCCACTCGAGGGCCGGGATTGGGCAGATCTGAAGACCCTCAGGAAGGCGGGGCGGCTCCTGTCACGAGGCCGCCGCCCAAGTTAGAGGAGGCTGCTCCTCTGGGGCTCCCCGTCCCTGCTCCGCTAAGCGCGCGGCTTTACACCCCCTTCCTTCTCCACCAGCCTGGGCTGCATGAGCTGGGGGCGGGCGCCTGTCGTCCTGCTCGGCGGAGGGGTGAGTCTGGCCCCGCCCCTTCCGGTCTCCAAGTTTCACTGGGCTTCTGCACCCCAAGCTCCTAGGGAGGGTCCGACGGGGTGTTCCAAGTGTCTCTAAGTGTCAGGGGCCTTATTCCTTGCTGGTGCTGAGGAGGCCGGGCAGAGGCTTGGCGCCTGGCCCAGGAAGGCGCCCGGCGTGCGGTGTCCTGGGGCAGTTGTGGGGACGCTGAGCCTCCCCCCTCCCCAGGCCACGCTGCTCGTGTCGATTCTTTGGATGCCCGCGCTGCTGCCGCTGGCTTCCCGCCTTCTCTTGCTGCCCCGAGCCTTGCTGTCCATGGCTTCTGGAAGCCCTCCGTCCCAGCCTTCTCCGGCCTCGGGCTCCGGCTACGTTCCAGGATCAGTTTCTGCAGCCTTTGTCACTTGTCCCAATGAAAAAGTCGCCAAGGAGATCGCCAGGTGGGGACCTGGGAACCTACCAGGGAGAGCTGGGCTAGGGGAAGGGTGCTGCCCCGGCGGGTGGCCCTGGACTGCCATCCAAGTCCAGGCCGGCGGGGCGCACTGACTGCCCGCGCTTCACCCTCAGGGCAGTGGTAGAGAAGCGCCTGGCAGCCTGCGTCAACCTCATTCCGCAGATCTTGTCCATGTGAGTCGCCACTCAGAAACTCAGTCTAATTGAAGGGGCTGAGAGCTTTTGCTGGGTGGGGGGGGGCAATCATTCTTCCCCAAGACTTTGTGCCCTTCTTTCTCTGACCTCTTCAGCTATGAGTGGAAAGGGAAGATCGAGGAAGACAGTGAGGTGCTGATGGTGAGAATCCCCCTCTTGTCTGGCTCCTTGGACAGCTGTGGCTCTGGCCTGGCAGCAGTTCCACCCCTTGGTTGAACTGTGTCTGTCTTTGCCCTTTAGATGATTAAAACCCAAAGCTCCCTGGTCCCTGCTCTGACAGAGTTCGTTCGGTAAGAACTTTAAGGTTTTCTTTGTGGCGGTACTGGGGGACGGACCAGGGCCGCGAGCATTTCAGGCAAACCCCAGCTCACCCAAAGAGCTTTGAAGTGGACACGGTGGGGTGGACTTTATTGGGGTGTGCCTTTGGGTGAGCGAATAACCCCAGCCCTGTCCCTTCTGCAGATCTGTGCACCCTTACGAAGTTGCTGAGGTGATTGCATTGCCTGTGGAGCAGGGGAATCCCCCGTACCTGCATTGGGTGCGCCAGGTCACAGAGTCCACTACAGATTCTGCCACAGCCCCCTCCTCTGCTTAAAGCCCCCTGGTTTCTAGGTGATGACCGAGCCCCCAATAAATCCTCTTCTGTTCTCTGTCTGTTCCCGTGTAACATAGATGCGGGTGGTGGAAGATCAAGCACCCCTTGCCCTTGTGTTCTGCCCCTCTTTCAAAATGACTGTCTGCCACGTTCGTTTATTTCTCTTTATTACAGTCATACAGAGTCTGGAATCCTGGACCACCCCCCCACCCCCATCTCTATACCCAGGGGTTGTATAGTTTTAAAAAATACTTTAAAAGCTGTAACAAAATAACGTCAAAGGAAATGAGAAGGATGAGGGATCAGGGGTCATGAAGGGGCAGAGGAGAGGACCTCTTCCCCACTCCCCTGGATTCCAGCCTGGGCAGTAGGGAGGACTACTCCCCATCGCTCCAGGTACATCCCAGCTGTAGGTGAGGTCAGAGGTCAGGGCATGAAAGTGCCAGTGTGTGGATGGGGAGGGGGCAGAAGAGGGCTGTCAGAAGATGCCCCCTCCTCCCCACTCAACTAGGTACTGCACAGAGCCGTCCGGCCGCACTCTCCGAGCAAGTATCCTGACAGGGTCCCCTCGGGACAGGTAGCCACCCCCACCTCGGCCTCCTCCCCCAGTCCCCGGAGACAAACTAGGACATAAGGGGGAAGGGGGGACTGAGTGTCCAGAAAGGCCGGGGGTGGGGGCTGAGGTGGGGGAGGCAGTCACTGAGTGGGGGGAGCTAGGGATATCTGTGGGGAAGCCAATGTGAAGTTCCAGGGGTGACCTGGAAGAAGAGAGAAGACAACAGTAAGACCAGACAGGCCAGATGTGGGTGGCTTGTGCCTTTAATCCCAGCAAGGAGGGCTGCCATCTGGGCTACAGAGACCTTGTCTTACACGGCATGGAGACCACGAGACCACGTGTGGATCAAAGGAATGAAAATAGAGTTTGAGACTAAGAGCCTAAGCCCACAGAAGGAAAGGAAGGAGCTGACCCGACAGACTCACCTGTCTAGGGCTTCACTGTCCCCAGAGGTCCCTGCAGTGCTGGCAGAAGGGTGGAAGGAAGCAAACATCCGGATGGGGCTGCTGAGGTGTGGGACAGGCAAGTCAGGACCTGAGGACGGAAGCGTGTCTTCCCCACCAAGGGCAGAGTTCAAACAGTTATAGTTCACTGAACTCCCAGAATACTGGTGTCATTCATGCTACAAGTCTCTTAGAGACAAGAATTGAGAAGCGAAGGGGAAGAAGGAAAAGAATCGCAGGTGATAGTGGCTGGAGAATGGAAATAGCTGGGGCTCATCTCGATCAGGCACTGACCTGGGCAGACAGCGGGCCTCTGTGGGCCGGAAGTTGTAGCCGCTGCTGCCCTGATAGCTCTGGTTAGGGCTGGGGGGTGGTGGAGACACTGAGGCCTATAAGAAAAGCCAGAGGGACCCTGTAATGGTCCCTGATCCTTCTCCTCATCCCACCAGTTTGCCCAACAGGATTCCCCTTGCCCTTGTACCTGCAGTGCCCTCCGTAGACGAGCCTGCTCCCTCTGCTCCTGGGACCCATGCCGACTGTGTGCTGCTGTGGATGGCCCCAGCTCCTCCTCTTTCCCCTTCCGCCTCTTTCTCAGGGGTTCTGGCTCCGACCTCCGGCGTTTCCCCAGGGGACGTGAGACCCCTCCCCCAGGGCCCTGCCCTGAAGGGAAGCTGTAAGAGGCCTCCTTATCCCCCCAGCCCCCTCCCAGGCACCCCAAGACCCCCCATTCCTATACATGTACCCTCCAAACCGATTCTATCCCCTCTGGACCAGTGACCTGGTGGGGGCTCCATCTCCAGTGATAGGCTCCACAGGAGGAGGGGTCCGAGTATGGAGACCAAAAAGACATTTCCTCTTTTTAATCTCCCTCCCTGAAATGAAACTAGAACAAGGAGAGAGACAGCAGGTCAGTGCTGTGGCACAGCTCCCCCATCCAGACTCCATATCACCCCGTGCCCCTTTTCCTGACTACCGGTCCTTGTGGCTGTTAAGTGCAGAAAGGAGCTGGGAAGAGCGCTCTCCCTTGGGGGTGTCTGAAAGCTAAAGGAAGAGAGTAAAGGTCAGGGAGCAGTCATTCCTCTTCATGTCCCACCCCAGGTCCCAAATGGTAGAACCCTTACCTCCCCCAGGAGCAGACGGTCCCAGTTCTCAGAGGTGAAGGGGAGGATCTCTCGGTTGAAATCGAAGTACTTCTTCTTACAGCAAACACTGAGATGGTAGAGGACAAGATGGGCTACGTCCACCCTAGGAGGAGCATGACATCGTCAGCACTGTGGAAGTCAGGAGTCACTGGGGTATAGTAGCAGGCAATAGAATTGAGGGCACAGCCGCCTCACCAGCGAAGCTGTAACCGTCGGACCTTCTCGGGGCCACCGCAGCACACACAGCATTCAAATTCATAGAATCTGGACAGAGTAAGGTCAAGAAGGCACCTCCTTCAGCCCTCCTGCGCAACAAGTGGCAGAGGGCAAGCCGGTGAGGAAGGCACCGGGCAGTCTCCCTCCGGCTCACCTGTCTCCGTAGAGGAGGGGCTTGCTCAGACACTGGGTGCAGGCCTCATGGAACCACTGAAGGCAGCGCCAGCACTGCAGCATTTTCAGGTTCCACCTCAAGAGGACGACAGTCTGCCTGTGGCCTCCATCGCCACAGGGGCACCCTCACCCTGTTTGCTCCACCACCACCAGCACGCCCCCATTGCCATGGGGCCCCTCACCCTGTTCGCTCCACCACCACCATGCCGCCCCCAGCTCGCACCCCTCATCACTCACTCCCCAGGACCTCCACAGTAACAGTAGCTCTGTTGCCGGTTGCTCAGGTGGCCAGCATCCCAGTCCAGCCCCTTTAGTCCGTAGGGCAGAGAGAGTTTCATGCCCAGCATGGCCCGCGCATAGGGCCCCTTCTTCAGTGCGCCTCCCCTCTGCAGAGGAACAGGTGAGGACCTCAGAAGCAGGAGGGGAGATATCATGGAAGGCTCCCACAGGAAGGGGCAGAGAGCTGCTTTTACCTTGGTGGCAATCGCAAAGACACACTGGCGGCAGACCCAGGATGTGTCCTCTCCTTCTCCAGGGGCTGGGGCCCTGGGAACGTGACAGTCCTGGTGATACGCTGAATAAGGACAATGTTGAGAGTAGACCACTGTGTGCATACCTCCACGGTCCTGCCAGGTGTGTGTGCATTATCCTGACTTTGCAAGTGAGCAAACAGGTTTATAGCGGATAAGGGCCTTGCTCAAGGAAGCATGGTTAGAAAAGGATGCATGTAAGCCACCTGGCGTGGTATATGTCACCTTCATCCTATGACTCCCTCTCTACTGAGAGATGAGGTGACAGGGTGAAGACTGGCCAAGGACAGGAGACACAAAACCCATGCTAGAAAGGCTAGTCGCAATCCAGAAGACCCAGGGCAAATTCTACCATTCAAGTACCCTGCCCTCTCACCATGGCGACACTTCTCACAGCTGACCAGCTGGTTCTCAGGGACCACAGTCTCAGAGCGACAGACACAACAGAGGAGCTCCTCCCCAGGGAGGGCAGCTATGAGGGAACAAAGTGTCAGGAGGCTGTCTTCAAGCCAGCACTTCCCATCCCCTTCCAGCTTCTGCAGGTGTGCAGCCCCTCCATCCTCTTCCAGCTTCTGCAGGTGTGCAGCCCCTCCATCCCCTCTAGCTTCTGCAGGTGTGCAGCACCTCCCAGCCCCTCCATCCCCTTCCAGCTTCTGCAGGTGTGCAGCGCCTCCATCCCCCACCTCTAGCTTCTGCAGGTGTGCAGCGCCTCCCAGCCCCTCCAGCTTCTGCAGGTGTGCAGCGCCTCCCAGCCCCTCCAGCTTCTGCAGGTGTGCAGTGCCTCCATCCCCCCCACCCAGCTTCTGCAGGTGTGCAGTGCCTCCACCCGCCTTCCAGCTTCTGCAAGCGTGAGGGATCTCACCGGGGCTGATGTCCTTCCATAGAACCTGAAACTGGGAATCGTCCTCAAACTGGACCAGGCATACCTCCCGAGCACTGTCCACCTGGACCAGGTGAGCAGAGGTTATGAAGTAAGAGCAAGAGTCAGGAGAGTGAGGAGGTGGCAGGAGAGCGGAGGTAACCCTTACCTTTTTGATGGTGCCCAAGTACAGCAGCCCATCAGTCCATCTGGCCAGCACATCTTGACCCTCCCAAAGTCGAGGTCTGGGGCCTGAGGGAGCAGGGGAGGCTGGATCCCAAAGAGAGGGTGCACCCAAGCGGCTCAGCCGGGGGAGCTGCGCCATTGCATCCTGGGGGGGTGCTAGTCAGAAATAGGAAGGGAGAGTTTGAGTGTTAAAGCTTTGTGCTTTCTTTGCTTTTTTTCTGTTGCGGGTTAGGACCAAGCACCTCCAACCCCAGCCTCTTAATCCTTTAGACACCTAAGGAGGTGGGTCACCCTGGCCAGCTTCTTGACTCCACTCCTCTCCCTCCAGTCTCCTCAGCCTAGTTCTGTAGCATCCTACCTCCCAGGGACCTCAGGGGAAGAGATGCTTGCAGGACCAAGGTTACCACGCAGGTTCACCTTTCCCAGCTGTTTAGAATTATCCTAATTGGGACGCTCTGTTGCCTTTTGGGATATTTTAGGAGCTTTTCTGGATTTGTTTCCCTGAGTAGAAACAGCTGCCTCCCCGGGCCTGTGCGTCTCATTTAGAACAACTATCCTGATGCCAGGCTATGTTAGGTCACCCTCAAATTTGAGGCTCCATGCCCCAAGATTAGATAACTTCCCTGAGTGCCCCAGGAGGGGGGCGTGTCCCTATCCAGGTCTCTACTCCCCTACACCACTAGTCTGAGGAGGAATTTGAGTCAGCCCAGCCCAGATCCTAAACCGGGACCAGGAGGCTGTCATGTCTCTTCCTGCACACCGACCCCCGCTCCCTGCCCCCGCTCAGGGCCTCCCGCCTTCTTACCGGTGACAGCTGGGGCAGCTGGGAGACAGGCAGGAGCAGACCCAAGAGACGTGGGTGAGCCCCGAGTGCAGGAAGAGTGTGTGTGGACGCCGGAGGGCGTGCAGGAGGAGGCCAGGGGGTCCCCGGGCCCAGCCCCTCCGTCCTGGCT